AAGGTCTCACCGAGCGGTTAAGATTGTCGTGTGAAATAGGGTTCGTGAAAATGTTCTTCTTTGTCGGTGCACCCTGTAAGACGGAAGACAGAGAAAGAAAGAGGACAATAAAAGGAGACACAAAGTGACTGGCATACGTTGAATGGGCCTTGAAATTACCAGGTGGAAACCCGATAGGGGACGAAGCGTCGCAAGGCTGCTTCAATCTGGGGGGAATAACAAATTGCAAATTGTAATTTTACATGGACTAAGAAATTGGTAAAAATATATTTTACGTGAAAAATTAGGCTAGAAAATTTTATAAAAAAATCATGATATCCGATAGGGCAAAAATTTATGGGAACCTGTAATCCCAGAGTGTTGAAGGTCTTTTGTTTTTATTAAGCGACGCAATGGGCACAGTAGGGAAAAAATGAGAAAAATGAAAAAAAATTGGATAAAATAAGAAATACTCAACCTAAAGAAAAAGAGGCTATTTGCGCACCGTACAAACGTTGGACCAATCTTGAGCTTTCTTTTTCCACCCCATTTTTCTGGGGCCCCTTCAAAGCCGCCCCTGAACTGGCGATCACTGTAATAGCTACCAACCCTTCGACCGTATAGGTACGTAATACCCACGTCCTTCGTATATTTCACACACACTATCAACATAGTCCGATTTTTTCTTTTCCCAACGTCTCAAACCATCACCCACCTTTTTATTCGCAATTTTAACCTTTTTGGCATAATTAAAATTTTACAGACGGACCTAAAATGTTTCGAGACTTTCTCATTCATTATTACAATATTCCACGTCCGCTAGTCCACCGGGTTCTGTTTCACGTTGCTAGTACACCGGGTGGCTCAGGTGTTCAGATGGTGGATTTGAGCTGAATCACCCGGTATGCTAATCTGCGCAATAGCAGCCATCTACACAAAGCTTCTATTTAAGGGTATGAAATATTTTTCAAAAAATGTTCTGTTATCTCTTCACCCTTGACTGAACTACACAATCATTGAAAATCAACCAAAAGCGGTGCCAACCTTTAATGCCAAAGGTATTACTCTAAAGCGATTTGTCCTTCTGAAATGACGCGAGGTGAGATTCATAGAAACGATCCTTAGACTTGGTAGAAAAAATAAACATTGTTATACTTAATGCACGTGCTAACTGAACATGGACAAGAAATGGGATAAGTGCCGAGCGGCAGGAAACTGACCGTCTTGAAACTCCGTATTCCAGTTGGCTTTGCTTGTTCGAGCGGAGTTGGCTTGAATTGAATTAAAAAAGGGAGTAGAAAAAATTTAGAGCGAACGAGTTGAAAAATAAATTTGAACCAAGAATTAATTTTTTTAACGAGGCAAACTCTTGTAACAACGATAACAATAGCGATGGCAATATTCAAGGTAAAATTTATCATTACGATCTCGAAATGAATAACAACGTTGCCGTAAAACGAGAATAAGAATGAATCTGAATCCAGCGACCATGCGAAATCGTAATTTGATGTTTACCTGGATTTTTCATTAATGCGCGAATCCTCTCGATAGCCACGAGCCGTGATTCATCCATTCTTCGATTCGCGCTAACTAACCTTGATGCGACCCGATTGTTGAATTATTAATGACATCCAGTGTGAATACATTTGAATGCAACGAAGAAATATTGACGGGATGGGAAGTCCGTGAATCAGGATTATCAAGAATAAGCAGCAGTAAAGTTTAAAGAAAAATCACGAGCGGAAAAAACGGTTTGCGGTTTCAACTTACGTGGAGAAAAAAAAAATTGAGGAAATAAAAAAATTTTCTTACTGGATATGTATTTGTTTTTATCAATTGAAATAAATTTTTAATTAGTCCATTAGGATCGATATCGATACGATCGATGACATATCGATGTTCCTTGATCAAGGCCTAATTAAAATCTCAAGCTATAAGGAACTCTTCCAGGAATCCAAATTTCATGAAAAATAGAGAGGCGTCCTTGAAATATTTTTGTCCTTTTCCTTCGCGCCTGTTTTTCCCCGATCGATCTTTACTCACTGCGTATCAGGTTATCCACTTCGATGCTTTCATCTTCTAACGATCTTGCCAATGTTTCGCCGACTGCGTTTAAATCGAAAAACGGTTATATTAAAAGGAAAATTTCTCTGTTATAATTCGCCACCAAGAGGATTGGATTACGTAAATATCGTAGAGACCCATTTGACGTACGATTCAGTTTTCCCGTCTGTTTCCCATCGTCTGGCCGGTGACGTAATCAATTCCTCGCCAACGGGTAACGATCGCGCCTGTGCAAAGGAACGTAAAAAAGCAGAAAACAGAAGGAGAAAAGGGAGAAAAAACTGAATCGAGTAAAGGCATAACCAAGGAAAAGGAAATGTCGAATGGCTTCCACTACGCTAGACAGCAAAACAGTCACCGAAGCATTCACCGCACCCGGGAGGTGGTACAAACTCTATTAGCCTCAATGCCACTTGGTCTGCACAATTCACCAGAAACAATCATATCATTTCATATAACGTTTCCTCATAGTTATATCGAACATACTTACGTTATTTGTAGCTGGTGCAATTAAATAATTTGAGAGATAACCTCAATTTTTCTTTTACTTCCCTATTTTTCTTTTCTTTGACAGTACAATTTCGTGTAACTCAGGTTTCAGGGTTATTCTAATACACCTAACGTGCGTACTCTTGTTGGTGTAAATAATACAAATGGCCGACTGTTCGTGGTTGGCTGAACAAATTATGCATATCTTAAATTGTCTTTGTCCTGACTGATGCCAGATTTTCCGTATTTCTCTCATGTAAAGTTATACGTCATACATACGTCAAAGATTAAGCTTTCTATCAACAACGATATTCCAATGTCGAAAACGTTTGTCTGATAATGAAAGTTTATTTTTTTTATTGGCCAGTTATAAAAAATGAGTAATTCTTCAGAGAAAATTGTAATTTGAATTACGAGCCATTTTTCCATCATTGACTTTTATTTCCTTTGCAATGCATTTGTAGACATTGTCGGTCCACGTGGTCAATCTCGTTTTTTGACAGATCGAAAATAATGGGGCTTATGCCAAGTGACACGTGGCATTGTGTATAATTGTTGATACGCAGTATGCATGTGCATGAATTTTTACTGGAATATATTATTTTTTTTATATATTATTTTTATAATATAAAAAATATATTACATTCGTGGATCCGACTGTAGGTACATTTGTTGCTTGTGTATATTATTCGTTAATTATTTTTCTGATTTGCAATGTTCTTGCTATCAAGACAGGAGAATGCCAATCTTGGATAATAAAATGATAATTAGTTGCCTCGAAATTGATAAGCAATTTTTTCATTAAAAGAAAAGACTTTCGAGGAAATTTTTAACACTTTTAACCGTCATGGTGAAAGTAAGGTTATACTTGGTATGTAAAATTATCATGGTCAACGCTTCCATGACCTTGGAGAGATTTACGATTTTTCATGTATTTGTCCATAGATTTATTAACGAACTACAATTCAAAGTGTTGATTGGTAAACGATAGACCGCAACTAATTTCGATTGACCAAGGACTAGTTTCGGAGACCTTCGCACATGCTAGTAACTGTTATAGGGTAAATATGTATAATGCCGGATACGTATTGACGGACTTTGACAGTGACAGTGCAATTATTATGAATGTTTTTTGAAAAATAAAAGATAAGATCAAATATAACTTGATGCAATTATAACACGTTAAAAAAAGAAGAACTTCATCATCGGGCGAGACTATTATTCTCATTCCTAAAATAGAATTTGTCGCGTATTTGATAATTACTAAGCATAATTGTTTCACGTGAAGAATCGTAAAAAGAGATAAGAACTGTGTAGAGGTTTTGAATGGGAGCTGTTAAAAACTATAATCCCTATTCTTCCTTAAATTTCACTTTGACAATTAAGATAAGTAATTTTGTTGGAGTTAGTCACGAAACTTGCTCGTAAAACTCTGAACAAAAAATACTGGTATTTGCAATGGCAGAATCGTGTTTGTCGACAAGACGCCATGGAATTATATCATTACAGACAGTACAGATTTTTTATTACTGAATTATCACATCTCAGTCCTAATATCGTTTTGTCACGTGGAAGATGATGAAAACAATATAGCCCCAAAGCATTTTATTATATTTAGGAATTTCATTTAATTCCCTAAGACGTAGCACTACACGTAATGTTTACTCTGCGATAGACTGTTAACGAATGAAAAATAAGTGAATCAAATGAAAATTTTTACCAAGATTCCTGGAAATCATGAGAAATTTTTATCTTTTTGTCCCGAACACGGAATCGCGGATAATCATCGATAAATTCTCTAGTAAACGGTGAACGGAATTCCAAGGCCACTGTCAAGTGTAAACAATTGCAACATTAAACATACCGTTTGGATGTCCTACAGCCTGTAGAATATATTTTACAAGTAAACTGAAGTCATTGTCAGCTAATAAACGAATCTGATGACAGTAACCATTATACGTATATCATTTGTCAACCAGGAAAAGGCTGACTGTATCGCTCACGAAACTACCACTTCCTAAATAAAACACGGAATAGGAAATACCAAGCGAAATAGAAAATTATCGCGGTTTGCTCACTTCCACTAACACGGACTTCGGAATTTTACTTATTACTCGTATGAGTAAATCGAGTAATTTACTTCTGTAAACAAAGTAATACAAAAATACAACAAGGGAAGATCGGCTGTCAGTTCACGAAACGCACGGCGGCCATTACTCTCCGACGCGAGCGTCGGTATAGTCGAGCTAAAAATATCGAATCTCGTATAAATCGAGAAACAGCATTATGGCGATCCTCGAGAAAATCTTGATTATCGAAACAACTGAAGTGAAAGAGGGAATCATGAAAATCTATGTAAAAGGAAACTTAAAGTGTCGTATTAGATATCATTGTTGGAAATATGTATGCCCAAAAGCCAAAAGAACCTTATAACTATCAGGTAACCTTGCGTTACGCGATCCACTTACGTTTCACGATAAGTCCGCCAGTTCCTCTAATGCACTTGAACTTAGAAGTGGCTCGTAAAACCGTAAAATAAATTTGCACCGGTTCACCATTCTCTTGCTTATACGACCTCGTTTTCTTCAGCTCCTCGATTGTTCACACTATACATATATGCATTTGCTATAAGAGCTGTTAAGTGGTTTCTGTTACGTATTCGGAATGAGGAAAAAGTATATTTTCATGTTCACCACGTTAATTGTTAATATGGCCATTACTATTAGCTTCAAAAAATTATTTTATATAGTGTATCAACAAAAAATAATTCCGACAATATTTTCATAGTATTTTCACAATCACTTTTTGTCAATTACGATATTATACAGGTTTTCGTTATTAATTCGAAGATGCGGAAACCGTGAACAAGGTAATCGACCTCCTTTGATTCGATAATCATCAACGTGTTAAAACGTCTTGCTTCTTTTTTCCCATCGATTCTACAAAGTCGACCTGCCGCTACGATAATCAGTTCAGTTTCCTCACGCTGACAGAGTCTCACCAGCAATTCGGAGGAGGCAAGACGGAATACGCGATATCGGAAGTGCCTGATGAAAGATACTGAAGGAAAATGACGAAACAACGAATTCCTGACGCGCTACCCAACAGATCATTGATGTAAGTCGACACGCGGTGAGTTCCAGTTCTTGCTGCTCGTGACGTCAATAACCCGACTTTTGAATCGGGGAACGTCATATCTATAAACATATATGTATATGCATTTATATTACACTATGTTGCTACTGTGTAATGACGTCATAAGAAATACCCGTTTCCTCAGACATCATTGGAAGCAGTTAGAGTGTACCAGGTACTAAACTTAATTAGTAACCTTATATCTGCCATGATTAATTTCATTTTCCTGGTATACCTAATGGAATCAAATCCTATAGCCATAAGCTATGACTAAATAGTACAATACGTGTCCCTAGGACTGCATATAGGTATAATTGTACCTATGAAAAAGATTAAAAATTATTATAACCTAAAAACAGTATGGAAATTTCTCATGTCAACGAAAAAAATAAATAAAGGATGAGAATCACACTGCTAATTAATATCTAATGACATTCTCAGGAGATATGACGAATTAACATAATTCATCTTAATCGTCTGTTGCAATTGCCAATGAAATCCAAACAAAGGCTCGACCAGTTTTTATTAAATCTCTTAGATCTCAGTCCTAACCTGATTGGTGGACTGGCCGATCTCTTCTATAGGAACGAAGAACAGAAATCTTTTTCCTCGTGAAACACGCTAATTTTTCTCGTTTCGTATCATCAACCGGTTTTTGCACAGCCGACCGGTACAGTCCCTTCCACGTTAGTTGATCCGGTCTGGTGACCTTCTGAAAAAATTTATTTCATCTTTTTAACGTGCTCGGTCATAAAATCATATAAATTTTCATATATACATTTATTTATATATAAAAATTTTGTAATTAGTCGAATTCTGAAAAATGTACATTAAGTTCATGACTTTATGAAAGAGATTTTGACTGTCACGTTTTATGGATTTTCAGTCACGTTTGATAGTCGGTGGAAATGTGTGTGCAATTGTCACAAGGCAAAACTGTAAAAGTTACTTGAGTTCATAGAAACGTGTATTACATAAAAGTGCGTTTCCATCGAGCTGGCTGATCCTATTGGCGGAACAGTCTCCTATGAGAATGAACACCATGACACTCGAAATTTCATAATTTACGTAATTCAATATCAGACAAGATTTCATACTATCACGTATTGTGTACAGGGATAAAAATTTATCTGAAGATCCAGACATTTTGTAATAATGATAACAAAGATAAAGAAACTGTTTATACAATTTTTTATAACAAAAATGTCTTCGGCATACATGATTCAGACTAAGCACTTGTCTCTGGGACAAAAGTGCATTTATACAGAACAAAAAAAAAATTGTATCGCAACCACAATGACCTGGTCCAATCAGCTGTAATCGCGATTGTACAATGTCTTGGAGTCTCTTCGAGGGATCCACTGTGGTTTTCATTGAGCGATAAATGCAAATGTACATTGTGGTAAACGACGGGAATGACTGTGACTTGTTTCTCGCACGTAATATCTGCTACTGGACCACCTTGAGTGTTAGGGAATTAAATGATGTTTTTTAATACCGATAAATAATAAAACAATTACAGCTATTACAATTGCATCCAATTGAAACCTATAGCAGTACGTGTAAATGAGTGTGGAAACTGTAAATAAAAAATTATGACAAAATTCATTAATAATTTTATCTCTATGACGTATATGTATAGGATCCGTCTCATAAGTTGTTGTTGTTCTTGTTGCCGCGCATGCGCATTGAATTACAGGCTCGTTGGATTTCTCGTGAGGCTTCTCTGTCGTAAAATCACAAAATCCCCTGATGCGTTCTCCAGTGACGTCACGGGCGACGATCCGCGTCGTCGACTCGTCTAACCAATCGCCACGTTCATGCAACTGGGTGGGGAATTGGGTTCTTCAAGAAACCGTATAAAGCGCCATCAAACGCTACAACGAGAGAACAGTCAACGCGCCCCCTTTCGTGAGATCATGTAGGACGTGGATGAAAAATCACACGATCACAATTCACACGATCTTCAGTTTCGTTCGAGTGAACGACATCGATACGTGATCTTTGATGTAATTTTGTTTTAACAAGCTTTTAAATCGGTGCGTTTAATTTATTCCAATTGGTCGTGGCGATAGGATCGATAAGTTTAATAACGGTGCATGGTGATTAAGTGACGAGTGGAGAGATTACCTAGTTAACGTATATATGTATATATATGTATTTTTTGAAGAAAAGTTATAGGTGTGAGTTCAGTGAAAATTTTTATAATTTTTCTTATCATTAATCGATCGCGTTTTTCAATTTTTTTTTCAGGGGTTGTTTGCTCGTTATTGTTTTATTAACGATTTTGATTATTGATTGATAAATAAACCAATGAGTATCGATAATTTTTAGCTTTATTTTCTTTTCTTATTAACTAGATGTCGCACGTTGCTATTACATAGACGATAATTGATAGATATATTGAAATTTATACTGAAATCACGTGCATCAGTCGTTATCCGGATTGTTATTAAAAGATTGCTTTGTTTCTGTCATCACCGTACAGACACCTGAGTGGAAATTAAAATTTGTATCTTAAAAAAATAATTAATTCTTGTGTTTATATGAAATTCAGTTAACGTAAATGATCGATATATTTTGTAGAATAATTAAAACTGAACTTTCTCCCCCAAATAAAATAGTCGAAAAGTGAAAAACGTATCCGACTCCTAGCATCCATTCTGACTGTAAAAACCTACGACTGTCAAGTAGTATGTGTTAGTCGATAACTTGAAGTTAATGAAATTGATAGCACGTGGCAATAGTTTGACAATAGTTAGTTTAAACGATGCAATTGCTGCTGTTAATTATAATACATGAACCAGCAAGGCCATTAGACGGTTCTCAGAATCTATTTGTATTGCTTTAGGCCGAATCTGTTTCGAATATATAAAATTTCACTTGCTGAACCATATAAGGCTGTCAATTAGTATTTACACTGTACGTATAATAGATATCGAGCAATGGAAACAAATTTTAAATATTGTCTTTGTTTGGCTCTTTTTTTTCAGAAAACAAAATGACAGTAGCCATAGATTCTACAAAAGCCGAAGCTGGCGAGGGTCGGCGAAAAATCGAAAATTTTGACGACATTCTTCCCTATATCGGTGAAGCAGGTCGTTATCAATGGTTCCTCTTTTTCATACTCTTACCATTCACCTTTGTTTACGCTTTCCTTTATTTCACCCAATTCTTCCTTACCCTCACGCCTAATCAGTATTGGTGCACCGTACCTGAATTGGATTTGTGGAATCTCACCGATTATGAAAAGTAAGTAAAAATATTGAAATTTAAAAAAAAAACGATTTTTTGGATAACCTCAAAATATACAGAAAATACCTACTAGAATTTTTCTGGGTATATTAAGACAGTGAGTTGTCAGTTTTGCAAAAAAAATCTTAACATAGATATATGTGATATAAAAGTCACTTGGATATTTCATTGTTTTCATTTTTCATTGTCACTTAACTCCAGGTCTTTTTCTGCATTTGATTCGTCACGATCACGTATCGGAAATAATCGTGAGTACAGGGTCACGATTTTCATGTTAGGAAAAGGAAAGACAAAAAAGGCAAAAAATTTTAACCAATCACGAGCAACCGTCGATTCTTCGTAAACGTAACATTTTTTTTAGATACGATTACCACGCGCACTTCTCCCTTTTTGGTTGATTCGATGTTTACGCAAGTTTTGACAATTTTAATATTTGCAAAATTTTCTGGGATTTTGACTTTTCACAAAATAAGTATACCTATTGTTCGTTGATTTCCTTACTGAAAGTTTTCTCACTCGATCATCTTTTCTCAAGATTATTTTTACGGTCCAGTCCACATTCTCTGTCACTGGAGAATCTCTTGAAGCTGCCTGTACCCCAGACCCCTGATAATGCAACACTCCATAACCTGTTCTTCCAAGAATTCACGACGAGTCATCGTTGGGAATTTTACGTTCAATGACTGTTGACAGTCCTGCACGTTACTGACCATTCTTTTACATGTTGATGTATATATATATACATACATACATATAATGGGTTCACGAGTTCAACGTGATTAATGCGCAGCATCGCTTACAGACGGGTAAAAAATATTTGATCTTTCCGTGAAAAAAATCATCGTTTGACAAACAAAACTTAGCTTATAGATGTGCGAACTTTCACAATAGACGAATAATTCCGGAACTTGCCGAATAGTTCCGATTATTTCCGAGCGAAGCTTTAAAATTGTTCACCAAAATCCCACGAACGAAAGAAAAATCAGATACGCGTTTGACGTATTATTTGTGACAATAAAAAAAAAATGTTGACCAAGTCAATTCCACATTTTGAATTTCGAGAAAGTCCGAGTGGCATCCACATGAAACTTTCCTGCTCTGTTGATTTTCCTTGTGTGTGTCAATTAACACGTAAAAATCTGAATTTACCCATCGTGAATAATGACGCATATGATACGAGACGATGCTAATGAATAAATGATAATTCGCTGTATTCCTTTCAGAATTGCCATTTCTGTTCCTCTGGCCAATGAGGAAGAATTGAAAATGGAGGGCGCCACCGCATTGTCCAGGTGTCAAGTGTACGCTGTCAATTATACGGAAATTCTAGCCAGTGGACGTAGGGAGGCTGATCCCAATTGGCCAACAAAACCTTGCGAGAACGGATGGTCCTTCAACTGGACAACAGTTCCCTATGCCTCCATAGCTGCTGAGGTAACGAGCAATAAGAATTTAATGGACAATAGATGAAATCGACTGTACGTGAATTATTTGCTGTTAAAATTTCATCAAGGCTCGCTTCGGTTATTTCCCAGTCTGATGTTCCGGGTTTATTCACTTAATGGAGCTCAATAGGAAGTGACATTGAACTAGAGTGTACGATTGTTTCTTCTATACTTTTTTTTTTTACTTCTGGGATAACAATAGAATTTTTTAACATGTACACGATCACGTTTGTCTTTTTTCTTGAGTTAGATTTTTTTTTTTTTTTTTTTTTTTTTTTTTTTTGGGGGTTTTT